AGAGCTTCTGCATCTTGTCAGTGAATTAAAATGAGTGACCTCATGGTGAAACCCCGTCTCTACTAAAAAGTACAAAAAATTAGCCGGGCATGGTGGTGCGTGCCTGTAATCCCAGCTACTTGGGAGGCTGAGGCAGGAGAATTGCTTGAAACCAGAAAATGGAAGTTGCAGTGAGCCGGGATCGCGCCATTGCACTCCAGCCTGGCGATAGAGCGAGACTCTGTCTCAAAAAAATAAATAAATAAATAAATAAATAAATAATAAAAATAAAAAATAAAATGAGTGACCTATTTGCAAACATATTCACATTTTTAGTAATACACATACTAAGAAGGAGGGCTTCAGAAAAGCAGCATTCCCGAAAGCGTTGCTAGGAAATAAAGGATATCGGATTTGTCCTAACCAAATTCAAAGATATTTTGTAACTTAATGTCCAAATCACAACAATATTGTTTTCTCGACAAAAATAATTATAGTAACTCTCATGTTTTACTTAAAAAACAATTAAATTTATCATTTGTTTATTCACTCAACCATTCAATGAGAATTTGCTCAGTGTTTATAGACTTGTTCCAAACTTGAGCTGGTATGAGAAGCACCAGGAGGGCTTGTTCAACCACAGATTTTTAGGCCTACACCCTAGAACTTCTTTTCTTTTTCTTCTTCTTTTTTTTTTTTTTTTTTGGCTCCCCATCCGGGAATCGAACCCCGGTCTCCTGCGTGACATACAGCTTCTGATTCTGTGAATTTCTAACAAGTATGCAGACTGTGCTAATGCTACTACTCCAGGCACTGTACTTGAAAGCCACTGGCTCTGAGTATGCTAGCCATTATACCATTTTGGAGAATATAATGAATTTGGTACTGGTTTTCCCCTAGAAACTTACATATTGTTGGTCAACCACAATGACTACTGTCAGGTTCACGACTACACCAAAGGTCAAGCTGAGGTCCAGAGGGAGTGGGTAGATGAGCAGAAAGAACATTTCGGGGGGTTGCACATAGGCAGGTGAAAGATGATTTTATTCAGCGGCAGCGCTCCCCAATAGCTTTGTCTCATACTGTCTGCCCTGTCTCAGCTACTTGGTCCAGTGGCGCCCACACACAGCTGTGCGGGCAGCTCTCCCTTGCCTTCCGGGTCAGCAGATTAACTCTTTCTCTCTCTCAGCATGAGCGAGCCAAGCTGTGTCCTGGCTCTCCCTTGTTTGTCTGCAAAAACAATCATTAAATGAACAAATGATTGTCAAGCCCAAACAATCATTAAATGAATAAATGCTACTCTGTGAGTTTGCCACGTAATTCAGCAATTCCAGCAAAGGATACTCCAGTTGGAGATATGAATAACCCAGATCCGGAGAGCGGCATACATAGTGCGGATAAAATTTTAAAAACAAAAACAGAACGTGGTTATTCAGAATACAAGGGCTACATCATAGAACTGCCTGGTGTGGGTGCTACATTTAGCCAGATAGGGATCCTAGAAGCCAAATACTGAGATAAAGTTAGTTGAAGGAATAGATATGAAAATTCATTTTGATAAATTCTTCTCAAAATGAGGTCCGCAGGGGTCAGAAGGATCAGCATCACCTGGACACTTGTAAGAAGTTCATCCCCACCTGAGAACTACTGAATCAGAGACACTGGGGCTCCATGTGTTGTAACAAGCCTTTCAGCGTCTTCCGAGCCAGATAAAGTTTGAGAACTACTGCTCTGGCTGAGGACAGGCGCACCTTGTTTTATTGCATTTCACTTTATTGCTTTTGCGTGTATTGCATTTTTTACACATTGGAGGTTTCTGGCGACCCTGCATCAGGCAAGTCAATGGGTGTCATTTTTCCAGTAGCATGTGCTCATTTTGTGTCTCCAGGTCACATTTTGGTTATTCCAGTAATATTTTAAATTTTAACGTTGTTATATCTGTTATGGTGATCTGTAATCAGTGATCTTAGATTTACTATTGTAATTTTTTGAGGTGCCAAAAACACATACATATAAGATAGCAAACTTAACAGCAAATACTGTGTGTGTTCTCACTGCTCCACTGACTGGTCATGCCCCCATCTCTCTCCCTCCTGTAGAATCCCCCTCTTCCCCAAAATGCAACAATATTAAAATTAGGCCAGTGAAAATCCTACAATGGTCTCTAATTGTTGCAATAAAAAGAAGAGTCTCCTGTCTCTCATTTTAAATCAAAAGTGGCCGGGCGTGGTGGCTCACACCTGTAATCCCAGCACTTTGGGAGGCCGAGGTGGGCGGATCACAAAGTCAACAGATCGACACCATCCTGGCCAACATGGTGAAACCCCATCTCTACTAAAAGTACAAAAAATTAGCCAGATGTGGCGGTGCATGCCTGTAATCCCAGCTACTCGGGAGGCTGAGGCAGAAGAATTGCTTGAAACCAGAAAACAGAAGTTGCAGTGAGCCAGGATCGTGCCACCGCACTCCAGCCTGGCGATAGAGGGAGACTCTGTCTCAAAAAGCAAAACAAAACAAAACAACAACAACAACAAAATTAAAAGCCAGAGATGATGAGGCTTAGCAAGGAAGCTGTGCCAAAAGCAGAGACAGGCTGGCAGCTAATCCTCTTGCATCAAACCATCGGCCAACCTGTGAATGCAAAGGCGAAGTTGAAGAAAATGAAAAGTGCTACTCCCGTGAACACGTGAGTGACAGACAAGATAGCAAAGGCATCATGTTGCGTACATGGAGAAAGTTTTCGTGGTCTGGATAGAAGGTGAAACCAGCCACAACACTTCCTTAAACCAGAGCCTAATCCAGAGCAAGGCCAACTCTTCAAATCTGTAAAGGTTGAAAGAGGAGACAAAGCCACAGAAGAAACATTTGAGCTAGCAGAGATTGGTTCCTGAGACTTAGGAAAAGAAGTTCCCTCTGTAAGATAAAAGTATAAGTTGAAGCAGCAAGCGACAATGAGGACGCTTCTAGTTATCTAGATCTAGTTAAGATTATCGGCCAGGTGCAGTGGCTCATACCTGTAATCCCAGCACTTTGGGAAGCCGATACAGGTGAATCACCTGAGGTCAGGAGTTCAAGACCAGCCTGACCAACATGGTGAAATCCCATCTCTACTAAAAAAAATTACAAAAATTAGCTGTACATGGTGGCCGGTGCCTGTAATCCCAGCTACTTGGGAGGCTGAAGCAGGAGAATCACTTGAACCCAGGAGGCAGAGATTGCAGAGAGCTGAGATTGCATCATTGCACTCCAGCCTGGGCAACGAGTGAAACGCCATCTCAAAAAAATAAAAGATTATTGATGAAGGTGACTACACTAAGCAACAAACTTTCAATGTAGACAAAACATGTATTGGAAGAAGATGCCTGTATACATGAATAATATTCTATGAAAAGCACATATTTTACAACCCTCCCTCCACTGGAGGGACTCAGGACAAAATCAGAATTTACAGAAAACACAATTTACGCACCTAAAAAGTAGGGCTTAGAATGTTTTATTACTGAGGTATGTTCCAGTTTTGAAAGCCAGTGATTCTAGTAGCCTTTATTCCACATTTAGCCCGCTGTAGACAAACACTTAAAATGAAATTTCTTCAAATCTATTATTTTTATTAGAAAATAATTTCATTTTCTCTAAATCGCAGTCATCTTCATTAGCTAAGAACTGATAACTGAAGGGTTGAACTAAACTGCTCTTACTGCATCAACATGGAGATAAGCATCATTTATCTCTACATATTACCTGGCTCTGTTTAAGGAAAATTTGTGTAGGATCTCCAAGTTTTTGCTTAAAAATTACAAAAACAAAAAAATAATGATATTCTGTAATGTTCCATAACAAAAGAAAAATCAAACTAAATGAACATAAAAACATTAGCCTAATATGCGGAAATCAGAAACAAGTTTCCAGAACCTCACCTAACAGGTATTTAGAGTTTGATTGGAATCCTCTGCCAGTGAAGTATTGCTTTGCTGTTCAAAATAAATGCTCTAACAGCTTTCCAAATGATCTCCATTGCCACCACGGATGATATATCTTTGCCAGCCACATCAAACTAGCTGGAGAAAAACGTAAGTGCCAAAATGCATTTGCTAATGAATTACCTTAGGAGAGAAACCCAGAGAGAGCAGCAAAGTAAATTTAAATTGGTGCCACCACTGAGGTAGACAACTAGACGGCTGGGAGTTATAGTTTGGCAGTGTCAGAGAGGGATAGAAACCAAGTGAGCATTCTAATGATCTGATGAGAGACAGACTAAGATCGGGTCAAAGATCAGGTGCCAAAAACTTGACAGAAAAGCTTCATTGGGTGTTAATAGTTGAGATAAATAAGTAATTCAATGACATTTAATGGTCAGATACAGATACTTTTACATGATTCAATGATATGGTCAGATACAGATACTTTTATGTAATTCAATGACATGGTCAGTTACAGATACTTTTAATTTAGTTATTCTGTAAAGTTCACTTATGATCCTAAATCACTTAAATTTACCAAATAGAGATAATCCAAGTTATCTGGGACTTCCTCCACCTTGCTTTGAGACAAGAACCACTTCCTCAAATTGTGTTTGGAAATGGGAGGATTGATTTTCCTAAGAGAGGGTTTGGGTTCATCCGCGCTGGTCCTATAGTCTTTGTCCAGAATGTGTCGGTAGGTTTAAAACAATAAGATACTCAGAAAATGAAGGCCTCAGCTGAAAACAGAGTAAAACCATGAGTCTGTGTGTACTCAGGTGTTTGCTACATAAACCTGGGATTATTATACATTTGTCAGGAAGTTTAATAGAGATCAATTTGATCTTAGTAGTCTGCAAATAAGTTATAATAAAGGCACAAAACGTATATTTAGGATCTACCATTTGGCTATGTAGAAGGTTGAAAATAATGTACTCTATGTAAGCATTTCACAGTTTTTAAAGTGAAGGTTTGTCCATCATGCACTCACCAACCGTGATATTTACAGTATACACAGCATGCTCTTGTAGCTTTATATCCAAGCAGAATCAGATTTTTTTAAAGCACAAATGCTTTCATATTCAGCACCTGTAAAGCTATCAGATATTTGAAAAGTTTTAAACCTGAACCAAAGAGTTTAATTTGAACAACCTAACTACGAATAGGTGAGATCCCACCCACTTAATAGAGTTCTGCAAATTAGTAACCAAGGGTAAAATGAAAGGAAGGGTCTCTTGGAGATTTGAAATTCTTCTGTTGAGGGTCCTGTCTTCTTTATTCAAGAAGTTTGTAGTCATTTTAGAATTCATTCAAGAACCAACTTCTTAATTTAGACGTCATGAAACGAGTCATGGCAAAAAAATACAAAAAGAGAAACACCACCACATCGAAAAGGATGAAGAGCCAAAGGTCCAACCAGTAAGAGTGTTTGTGAAGCCCGTTTGCTCCTGATTGAGGCCACACAACAAGGTTCCACCTTCATTCTCATCTCAAGCCTCGCAGCTCACAGGCACCGTTTCTACCATCAAGACCCGGCACGTCCACCTCCATCTCACTCCTGCAACTTCCTAACAACCCTAGAACCTGAAAATGCCTTGGTTCCAGGACTATGGCGTCCAGATTCTTTAATATTTGTTTTTAATTGGCATACCTATCTATAACAAAAATTATGTAATTGCCTTTCCAGTATAATTATCTTTGAAAAACATCTCAACCAAATTTTTGCTCTCAAAAAACATATTTTTGTTTTTGTTTCAATTATGAAACTTTCTTCACACATTGGAGTCATGACTACCATGATAATTTGCAGTCCTCACTATTGGCATATCGTGGGACCTCGACAGGAGAAATATCTGGATGCTGACTTTGTCTTGTGGGCTTACCATGGTCACAGATGTTGATGCTAATAATGTAACAGTATGGCATGGTTAGTCATCTAAATGAACTAGCAAGAAAATGAATTGTTTACCAAGCAAAATTAATGCAATGCTATAGTAATATAGTAATATTTTCCTGTTTCCTTTTGTGTTCCGTTCTTCACATTTGAGTAATGAACCAGTACTTTTTTTTTTTTTTTTGAGATGGAGTTTTGCTGTTCTTACCCAGACTGGAGTGCAATGGCATGATCTTGGCTCACCATAACCTCTGCCTTCTGGGTTCAAGCATTTCTCCTGCCTCAGCCTCCTGAGTAGCTGGGACTACAGGCGCTCACCACCATGCCCAGCTAATTTTTGTATTTTTAGTAGAGACGGGGTTTCACCTTGTTGACCAGGATGGGCTCGATCTCTTGACCTCGTGATCCACCCACCTCGGCCTCCCAAAGTGCTGGGATTATAGGCATGAGCCACTGCGCCTGGCGAACCAGTACCTTTTAAATAGCATTCTCTTTATCATTGATAAAGTATTCCTTAAATCAAATCAAAGTTCCAGACTTCTATCTACTCACAGAAATTATACATGATAAACTTAACTAGTAATGTTCACATTTTCAATCATTTTGTTCTTTTTAAAATGACAAAAGGTAATATACATATATATACTTCTTTGGAAAAGCTAGGTGCACAGCATAAAGAGTAAATAAACTTAATATTTCCCTAAGAAAATGAAGAAAACAATTCCACAAAAACAGAAAACAATAGCTTGGTCACCTCTGTCCTAGCACTCACTACTTGCTACTTTAAAAACTTTCCTGGGAAAAGATGTGTTTATTAGACTGAAGAACTGAGTTTTTGAGAAAGTGATTTGGCCGGTTAATAAAAGTCAAATTTTAAATTAATGCACAAGATATTCATATTATCTGATTACATACAGCATTAGACAATCTGCAAAATTTTCAAATTGTTTATTATTGTCAATTTGGTCCATTGATCACATTTTTGGGTCACTGTGTGTTGTTCACTTAGACTGGTGAGGTCTTCGTTTATATTATTCGGGGGTTATGTTATACCCTGAGGTCGCCCCAATCAAAATTTCTAACACGTGAGCAATGGGTTAGTGCCTGTAGATTCATTTAGATATGAGTTTGTATCAGTAAATTGAAGTTCCATTGGGTCTTCTCGTCTTATTTGGTCATATCCACCTCCTCACAGATAGGTCAATTTCACTGAATAAAAGTAAGAGTTAAACCCCTCGTGTGGCCATTCATACAAGTCCCTATTTGGGGAACAAGTGATTATGCTACCTTTACACGGTCAGGGTCCCGCGGCCGTTAAACCTGCGTCACTGGGCAGGCAGCTCTTCTAATACTGGTCATGCTAAAGGTGATGTATTTGGTAAACAGGTAGGGATAAGGTTTGCCGAGTTCCTTCTACTTTTTTTTAATCTTTCCTTAAGGGCATGCCTGTGGTGGGGAAACAGCTTGAATAATAGATTATTTCGGGTGTAAGTTATAACAGTTGGGCTGTTAACTAGCAGTAGTTATTCCGGTCTGATACAAGCTTCTGCAGAGGAAAATATTTTCATGTTACTTATACTAACATGTTGCTTCCATTAAGTAATAGATTAGTACAATGTGATTTTAGGAGTTCAGTAAAGTGAGTGAAATCAAAAATAATGAAATATTGAGCTTGAACACTTTTTAATTGGTGACTGCTTTTAGGCCAAGTGTGGTAGGGAAAAATCTTTCTCTCTGTGAAAGGTTGTTTCCCAGGGTCTGAAGAGCTGTCTGCCTTCGGACCAACAGTTAAACTTAGGGGGGATTAAATAATTCTGTGGGTAAATTTAAAGTTGAACTAAGATTCTATCTTGGACAACCAGCTATCACCAGGCTCGGGAGGTTCGTCGCCACTACTCATAGATTTCCCCACTGTTTGCCACATAGACAGGTGTATTTTTTACCTTTCCTTGAGGAGCTCACTTGGTTTCGAGGAACATTGTGGTAGTTCTCCATACAAGGTTATTTCTAGTTAATTCATGATGCAGAAGGTAGAAGGATTTGTCTTTGCTTTTTAATGCTTGGTTAAGTTTTCTGTCTTTCCCTTGTGGTACTAGATTTATTGCACCGAAATACAATTTCTATTAACTATACTTTTACAGTAGGTAAATGGTTTAATTAATATGTTTTAATAATATATTTAAATGAGGTTAGGGCGATTCATATAAGTGAAACGTGAGATCACATTTCTAACTGTAATTCAGTTTTTCGCAGGTTCTTGCCCATATCCAGCCACATGAGAACTGCAGTAATTTGAAAATGCTGACCCCATATTCCTTCTGCCTGCTTAATTATTCTGCGAGTGACCAGAAAATCTCTGACAACTAGTACACCATCTGGCCAATTCCTGTGAGGTACGTCCATGACCCCCATCCAGGTTTGCCACAATTCCTCAAAGAGAGCTGCTGCTCACCAGATACCACCAAAGACAGTTTGTTGTTCAGGAAGATGTGGTGGTCAATCCTGGGAGAATTCCTCTCTGACCCGTCTTTTCCATTCTACTAAGAGGATCTCAAAACCTTGATGCTTACATATCAAAATTTTAGAGAGCTTTATTTATAACTCCTCCACATTGTATAGGATTCGGTGGGGAAGGAGGGAGTCGGAAGACAAAGCTAAATGTTAGAAACTATAATATTCCCAATTATTAACTATTGAAATATATCTTAATAATTTTACATAATTTTCTTTACATATTTCCAACAGGCAGATTTGTGTAAATGTATTGGACATTATATATGAGGTGTGTGTGTGTGTGTGTGTGTGTGTGTGTAGAAAGATAGAGACAGAGACAGAGAAAGAGAGGAAGATAGAGGGAGATATAATGGTCTTACATAACATAAGAGTAACATAAGCAAAATTTTTTAAAAAAGAACAAAAGTTCTATTAATATCCAAAATCTCATATAAGGAGAAAAGGGAGAACTTCCTGCTTAAATATAAATTTATACACCTGCCCAGACACAAACGCATATGTGCATGCAAACCACCTTGTTCTCATAAAACAAGAGAGTTGGCTGTAATTCATATTCCATAATTTGAGAGAATTGATGACACTTTTATCTCACAATTTTCCTAAAACCAAAGTCTAAAGTTCTAAGCATTTCGATTCATCTGTCTCAAGTTTTACCTCGTTTTACATTGAGCAGGAAATTACTGATTAGGTGTAACCACAGCACCATGGCCAGGAAAGATACATACAAGACTTACAGAAGAAGAGGGGTGTCAACCATCCATTAGCTCAAGGAATTTCCTTTGCCCTCCAAAGCTGAGTCAGGAAGACGTTATTCTGGTAAGGGAGTAGAAAACACTCCTGCCCAACTCCACAGCATAGGCAGAATGCAGGGGCAGTGGCCTGGGATCACAGAGCACTCAGATCAAATGAAAAGACAACACTCTTGATATACATAGACAGAGATAAAGTCAACTCTGTGAAATGTGCAGCAGGCATTTTTCAAAGCAAATTGGAGGGGAAAAATGCCATCTAGATTTCCTCTGACAAAACTCTGGCCTTTAAGTTGAACTCTGATTTCTGCACTAAATGGCCCATACAATGTCACTTCATCCCGAAGAGCTAATAAATCTACAGTAAAGAGTTTTTTAAAAATATAACCTGAGAAGCATGGAGGAACAGCAAATGATACAGCAGAAGACAAGGGACAGAACCAGGGTTTGATAGAGAATATCCAAGAAAATCAAACCTTAATTCCTCAAGTGAAGGAAGCTGAGAAATAATTTAGTTTATATCAAAGAATTCTTGATGTTGCATGGCCATTTACATAAGATATCTCTTAACTGGGAAGTCAGGGAAGCATAAATATAAGGACGATTGGGTGAACCTTGTTTGAGAAGCATTAATCTTGCCATTTTATGCTTCTGGATAAAAATCTCTCTCCCCATTGCCTCATCTCCGTTACTTTTTCTGAAGATGTATTCATTAGTAAGGGTATAATGAAGAGCCTTTGCAGTAGATTACGCTAGATCCAGTTGAATATCTGGGCTCTATCCTAAAACAGAGGGATTAGTGAACATATGCATTTAGAATGCCAAATGCCAACACCCCAAACTCCTTCTGTGATAGTCTCAGTCCGTGTTCATGCCCAAATCTCATGGCCAGTTATAATCCCCACTGTTGGAGGTGGAGTCTGGTGGGGGGTGAGTAGATCACGGGGGGAGAATTTTTCATAAACAGTCTACCACTCTCCCCTTGATGCTGTTCTCGTGACAGTGAGTGAGTTCTCACAAGATCGGGTTGTTTGAAAGTGTGTAGCCCCTCCCACCTCACTCTCACTCCTGCTTTTGCAGTGGGATGTGCAAGCTCCTGCTTGGCCTTCCGCCAAGATTGCGAGCTTACAGAGGCCTGCCCAGGAGCAGACGCTGATGCTGTACTTTCCTGTACAGCCCGCAGAACTGTGAGACAATTAAACCTCGTTTCTTCATAAGTTACCCAGTTTCAGGTATTTCTATACAGCAATACGAGCACTGACTAATGCACCTTCTAAAACAACTCTCAGGAAGCCGATAGCCCAACTGTTAGTCTCCACATAAAATATAGAAGAAATTTCTCTGGGTAATCCGTCAAGCCCAAAAGAAACAACCTACACATACAGACCTAAGAG